TAGATTGTACAAAGAGGAAGCAGAATCACAAATCAGAAGATGACGATGATTCAGTAGAAGACATTAGAGATGCTTTAATTCTCAGTATGAACAGTTCGATTGAATCTTAGATTTTGGATTTAGGTACATCTTTTAATTCGTCTCCAAATAAAGAGTTGTTTCCAAATTTAAAGTCTGGAAGTTTCGAGAAGGTGTATCTTGCTGATAACAAAGATTTGGAGATTGAAGGAAAAGAGAATGTCTACATAAAAACTCCGGCAGGAAATCAGTGGACATTAAAGGATGTCAGATATATTCCTTGTCTCAAGAAGAACCTGATCTCTATTGGCCAGTTGGATAGCATAGGTCATGCAACAAAGTTTGGGAAGACTTTATGGAAGATTGTGAAGGGTGCTATGGTGGTAGCACATGGCACAAAATCTTGAACCTTATACACCACTGCAGGGTGTATGAACATGGTTGTTGTTGCTAAGAGTGCTTCAAATTCAAGTTTATGGCATAATAGACTTGCACATGTGAGCGTTAAAGGAATAAAGATGCTAGCTGTGGAAGAAGTTTTGGAAGGTTTGAAATCGGTTGATATGAGTCCTTGTGAGAACCGCGTTATGAGCAAACAAAAACGAGTTAGCTTCACAAAGACTGCCAAAGAATTGAAGAAAAGTATTGGGACAACGAAGCAAGTGGAAGTTGAGATTGAGATGCTGAAAGATTCACCTATGGATGTTGTAGTGGATACTCAAGAAACTCCTGAGACTGATGTTGTTGAGGAACCAGAGGTAAAACAAGTGAGAGTTGAGGTTGAGTTGCAGAAAGAATCACCTAGTGATGTTGTAGTAGATACTCAAGAAACTCCTAAGACTATTGTTGAGGAACCAGAAGCCGAGCAAGTGACACTTGAGCTGGTGTTGAAAAGATCATCCAGAGTCATTAGAGTACCAGATAGGTATGTACCTTCTTTACACTATCCGTTGGTGACTGATAAAGGGGAATGAGAGTCCCTTGATGAGGCCTTACAGTTGGAGGATACAACCAAATGGGAGCAAGTCATGGATGATGGGATGTCTAGGCTTCAGAAATGTGTTGCTCTTTCATTTGCTGAGCCTAAGTATATGGCAATAGCTGAAGCTGGAAAGGAGATGATATGGATGACAGACTATCTAGAAGAATTAGGTAAGAAATCGGATAAGCTGAAGGATAAGGTTACTCGATATTCTTAAAGGACCGCCTGCTACACCTGAAGGATAAGCTAGGGTATTTGATTGCTCGAGTCGAGATAGGAAGAAATCGGATTTACAAACTGAAGTTAAGAAGCATACGAGAAAAGTATTTGCGAGTCGATGTAGAAGATAAGGCATCACTGTGGCATCTCCACTTTGGTCACCTACATCATGGCGGCGGAGTTAGCAAAGAAGAATATGGTGCATGGGCTACCCAACATGGACTTTGAAGGAAAATTTTGTGAAGAATGCATGCTCACCAAGCATGCGAGAACCTCAATTCAAAAGAATGCTAAATTTTGGGCTAAACAACCTCTCGAGTTGATCCATACAGATATATGTGGACCAATTACCCCCAAGTATTTCAGCGGAACAAGGTATTTCATTTCCTTTATCGATGATTACTCACGAAAAACTTGGGCTTACTTTCTGAAAGAAAAATTCGAGGCATTCTAGGTGTTCAAAAGGTTCAAATTGATGGTGGAGAAGGCAACTGATAAACACATCAAAGTTGTACGATCCGATAGAGGTGGCGAGTATACTTCGAGGACTTTCATGGAGTATTGTGAGGAGCAAGGCATAAGGCGATTTCTAACCGCATCGTACACCCCTAAAAAAAATGGTGTGGTCGAGAGAAAGACCTAGACCATTCTCGACATGGTTCGATCAATGCTCAAGAGTAAAAGGATGCCAAAGGAATTTTGGGCAGAAGTCATGTAATGCGCCATCTACATTCAAAATCGATGTCCACATGCGAAGTTAGATGATCAAACACCACAAGAGGCTTGGAGTAGACAAAAGCATACAATCTCTCATCTCAAAGTGTTTGGTAGTGTGGCTTATGCTCACGTACCGAATCAACGAAAAACAAAGCTCGAAGACAAAAGCAAAAGGTATATGTTTATTAGATATGATGAGAAGACAAAAGGATACAAGCTACTTGACCCGATAAGCAAGATGGTGATAGTGAGTCGTGATATGTGAGTAAATGAAGCAAGCGAATGAGACTGGAACGATTCGACGGAAGTCAATATCGAAGTTGGAGAATCATTAGTCGTTGCACCAACGGGCTCAGAAATTTCCGATGATGAAGATGAACCACAACGACCCAAAATGCGAAGTTTGCGAGACTTTTATGACTCAACAAATGAGGTACACCTTGTATGTCTTCTGGCAGATGCTGAAAAGTATCAACTTTGAAGAGGCGGTTCGAGACAAGAAGTGACAAACTACCATGGATGAGGAGATTAAAGCGATTCATCGCAACAATACATGGGAGGTGACAGAATTACCGGAAGGAAGTCAGCCCATAGGTGTGAAGTGGGTATTCAAGAAAAAAATGAATGCTCAAGGCAAGATAGAGCAGTACAAAATGCGACTTGTTGCGAAGGGATACAAGCAAAAGGTTGGAATCGACTATGACGAAGTGTTTTCTCCCATCGCTAGAATGGAGACAATCTGATTGCTCATTTCCCAAGCGGCTCAATTCAAATGACCAATTTTTCAAATGGATGTCAAGTCGGCCTTCTTGAATGGTGTGCTTGAAGAAGAAGTCTACCTTGAACAACCACCCAGATACATGAAAATTGGAGAAGAGAAGAAGGTACTAAAATTGAAGAAGGAGCTTTACGGGTTGAAACAAGCACCGCGAGCATGGAGTACTCGTATCAATACATACTTCAAGGAGAATGGGTAGAAGCAATGTCCCCCGAGCATGCACTTTACACAAAGAAGAGTGGAGGTAATTGTTGGGAATAAACTTCAATGAAGAAAAGGTAGTTTTTTATTTTGTTAATTTTAGTAAGATTTTTTAAATTTGAGTCCTAAAAGAAGGAAAAGGCCAAATAAAAAAATGAAGGCAACAATCATTTTAGGAGAGAGTGGGTTATGCCAATTGTAAAAAGCAAACCAACTAGAGCAAAAAAAATAGCAGTGTAAGAGTGTAATAGAAAAAGGCTTTTGAGAATTCTTTGTCTCCTTGTCTCTCCCCTCTCGACACCCCCTTCAAAGTTTCGTGAGAATTATCTAAACAAGTTGGTTTCAGAGCAAGCATCCATTTTCTATAAGTCGGTATAAGAGCAGCTTTTAATTTCTACAAATTAATATCAGAGAAAATTTATATTTTACAAATTGGTATCAGAGCCGATGGCGAACATGATGGGACAAATGCCGCTACTACGATTCACGAAGACGAACTACGAGAATTGGAGCATCCAAATGAAAGCTCTTCTCAGTTCGCAAGACGCATGGGAGGTGGTCGAAGATGGTTTCGAAGAACCGAAAGATACCATGGGTTATACTGCGGCGCAAAACAAGCGCTAAAAGAATTACGGTCAAAGGATAAGGCAGCATTATACATGTTGTTCCGGGTTGTTGACGAGTGGGGCTTTGAGAAGATTGCAAGGGAAACTACTTCAAAAGAAGTGTGGGACATGATGACTCTGGCAATTCGGAAGAAAATGTCGACGAAAAAACTGGCCGAATGTTTTTTCGAAAGAAAAAAATAGAAAAGGAGAGAGGAGAGAGATTTGGTGAAGACTCGATGTTTTATTTCTCTTCGGTTAAATTCTTTAAATAACAAAACTAATTACAAAAATAGAAAAACTAATTACAAAAAATACAAAAACTAATTACAAAAAATAGAAAAACTAATTACAAAAAAATAGAAAAACTAATTACAAAAAATAGAAAAGTGGGCTAAGACTTGGCCAAAAATGACAGCTAGAATTACGCTCTTCCATGAGCGTGAATTAAGAAGTTTTGAGACGTCAAAACAACCTAACTGAATAAGGAACATAGCTTTTATTTAACAGGGCACTCTAGAAAATGAAGATTGCAAGGGAAACTACTTCAAAGGAACCGACCAAGTCAAGCAGATGCATCTCAAGACTCTGCGTGGCGAGTTGGAGAGCATGAAGATGAAGGAGTTAGAAAATGTATCTGACTACATTACACGTGCACAGACCGTGGCAAATCAACTAAATCGAAACGCGGGTTGTGGAGATAATCTTGAGGTCGTTAACAGACAACTTCGAGAATGTCATATGTGCCATAGAAGAGTCGAAGGACCTAGCGAAGTTCACAGTCGATGAGCTTGTCGGTTCTCTCGAGGCACACGAACAACGTAAGAAAAAGAAGGAGTCATTCGATCAAGCGCTTCAGACAAAGGCATCGATAAAGGATGAAAAGGCACTCTACTCACAAAATTTTTGAAGTAGAGATCATGGAAGCCGCAGGAATGGTCGAGGTGGTCAAGACAACAGTTACGAAGAAAACTATAAGGAGAAGAGACTGTCGAGCCAAGAAAATTGGCGTGGAAGAGGACGCAATCAAGGGCACGATCAAGGATACATTTTCAACATCCAGTGCTATAAATGTAAGAAATATGGTCACTATGCAAATAATTGTAACTTCGACAGATGTTACAATTGTGGCAAAATGGGTCACTATGCTAGAGATTGTTGAGTCGAAGAAAAGGTGGAAGAAACCATCAACCTGACCTTGGATGACGCAACAAATGGAGGCATTCTCTTGATGACCCAAAACGAAGAGCCGAACACAAAAGGAGACGGTGGCGCGAAAGATGATGGCGGTAGTTTTGAGGTTGTAGAAACTGTTAGAAATGAGGTGATACGCAGTAGATTTGGTGAAATCACGATATCGGAGACGATAAAATCGAAGAAGGATGAACAACCGGATAACAGAGAGCTTGAGCTCGAATAGAGAGAGCTCCAATGGCCAGAAAGGAAATTTGAGATGGAATGGAGAGAAAGGATGGTAGAAATGCAGATTGAACATGAAAAACAGATGGTTCAAATGCAAGCTGCAATCCCTTCGAAATCCCCTGAAAATCCCAAAACAATGACAAAGAAGAAGCCCATGCGATCGACAAATGAGCCAAAAAAACTACCAGATCATGAGGAGAAGAAGAGAGATTCAAAGCAACAACCCAAAACTGTCGTGGATAAATCTGTAGAGAAGTCTTAGTTGCAGACGTTAAAATCGCTGAATGAGCACCTTTTGAAGGAGACACACAAGAAAAGAAAGAAGTTTGGAGCTCTGGTTCAGGTTAAAGAGGGTTTGGAGCTCGACTTGAAGAAGAATGCCGACAAGAAGAAACAGAATCAAATGAATGAAGTGGGAGATAGGATTTGTAGGTTAGTTGAGAGTGAGAGATTGAAGAATGTGGAGATTGAGAGATTGAAAGATAAGAATAATGGGCTTGTGTTGAAAGTTGAGGAAGAAAGGGAGAAATGGATGAAGGTTTGTTGTGAGAGGGATGGAATTAAGGCTAATTCTGATGATGAATTGTTTGAGGAATCACGAGATTTGAGAAAGAAAATGATTGAATTGGAGAAGAATGAGAAAAGGGCTTTGGAAGAGATAGAGGATTTGGAGGTGAAATGCAAGAAGTTGTTAGGTGAAAGGATGGAGAGTGAGATTATGAATCGGAATCGTTGGAAGAGAAGAAATTTGTTAAGAGGTTATTGGATGAATCTGGTAGGATTATTGAAGATTTTGAGAGAAAAGTCGATTCAATTGTAGAGATGTTAACTCAATAGAGAGATTCAGTAGATGTGAATCTGAATCGAGTCCAACAGGAGGTAGTGAGTTTACGACGCACGATTGAGATAATCACTCGTGATAAAGCTGAAATGGAGGAAGCAAAAATGGAAGTGGAAAATGTCGTTGTGGACTTACGAAGAGAATTGAGTAAAGTGAACGAAGTTATGACATCTTAGTCCAACGTGGCTGAGAACGGGAAAAATGAAGAGTCGGTGCCTCAGATGGGCTATTCTCGAGAAGATCCAATGAAGTCTCATTGGAGAAAAACAACCCTATTTTGCCGCTCGAGGAAAATGAGAAAAAATTGAAGAAACCAAGACTGAGCTCGAGAAAACGAAAACGACGTAGGTGAAACCATTCAATAGAACATTTAAGTTTATAGGGAGTTTTGTTGGGAATAAACTTAAATGGAAAGAAAGGAGTTTTTTATTTTGTTAATTTTAGTAAGGTTTTTGAAATTTGAGTGGTAAGAGGAGAAAAAAGGCAAAGAAAAAAATGAAAAGCCACAATTTTAGGTTTTACCGTGTAAAAAGTAGACAAAGTACAAAAAAAAAAAAAAAAAAAAAAAAAAAAAA